CTCATAACATACCAGACGGTGTACTAATAACCACCAATGGGACGTTCTTCTTCCTTTTTAGTAGCAAATTAAGTTTATAAAATGTGTGCGGATGACAGCCTTACGCGGTATCAGCGTTTACACGGTAATCGGCTGCGCACGCATTTTATTATAGGCGCTAAACGATACGCCATTTGTCATTTGATTTACGCAAGTAGAATGTCAGGAACTTGTTCTCCCTCACCATACCAGCAGCTTGCTATTGAGCAAAAGTCTCATTGATGTTCTCGCTATGCTCACGCGACAGTGTCCACTGTAAAATCACTGCATTTCGTAGACCAGGTTCCCGATCAAATTTGCGCCGAACTCCGCGTTCGCATGGAAGATCAGAGGGTGCGACCGCACTAAGAACATCGTCCTTGTATATCATAGCAAGTGAATATGCCGGATCAGCTGAATATAAATCATAGCTATTCTCTATCGCCCCGACAAATAAAGACTCTGTAATAAGATGTCACCTTTGTCCGTATTAATGGAAGTATCCTCTGGAGCTCAAAATTTACAATCGCTCTTTTCTGTCTCACACTGGGACCGCGGCTTACTGTCTTTTTTGCCTTCACTAGCAATACAATTGTTATCAATCTGGAATAATTCGATGGTTTCGTGCTTGCGCCTAAAATGCTTCTGCTTTCTGGACGAGATAGGTACATGACACACCAAATCTACACCGTAGGGAAGTGCATAGTATCCGACCTTTCTAAATTAGACGATACATGACTCGTGGAGTTCCAACCACACGATACCTAAAAAGAGATCGCGGTAGTAATTCAGGTCCAACAAAAGACAATGTTTAATGCTGTCGAGGTTGTAAACCATCACTTCAATATCGAGCAGATTCTTTGACATGCTCCTGTCGCAATAGTCATGCACATCGTTCCCATTCTTGGCATTTTCAACGCCTCAGCTTACTGTCTACCACTTTAACTGTTAAAAATTGTTCGTAATCGCACGGTGATTCAGACCTAACAAGACTTTTTAGGGCTTCTTAGTACCAGAAAACGTTGAGATCAACATAAAAAATCAAGCTGCGTGCCCCGATTCTCGTAAATAGAGTCGCTCTTTTAAAAGTGTGCCCATTTGACCATTGACCTCCGGGAGTATGAATGATATTCATTTTTCTCCTAGTAGGCCGTCCTATGCCCATCGACATTTAACATGTTTCCGTTGGAGCTTTTTTGGCAGCTGCCCTTCATTTGGATTCAACCTTCTGTACCTCTCAGCCAGATATTGAGGGCACGCACGCAATGCATATATGTACTATCTGCGGAGGTCCAGAATATCTACGATTACCGCGGCTGTCCAGCAGCTATGACTTTTGTCTCTGTATCCTCAGCATAACCGAGCCTCAAGAGCATTCTTATAGCTTCTATGTTCGATCTGTGTCTATTCGTTGCGACCCGGAATTTGTTTTTCGTACTGAATACGACACCTGCCATTTTTATAAACGAGGTCGATTGGACGCGAACGTCTCGACGCACGCCCGCCTCTTCGGAGATACTCAATTAAGATGGTGATTGTTGTTTCTGCCTCTGGGGAGTATTTGTTTGGCGTTGCAATGATGTGTGATGATAACTTCTCGCCTTTGATTAGTCCACCAGCTCACGTCTTTCTTTACGGGTGGACAAGAATTAAAAGCATTCCCTTTTCCCATTTTAGTAATTTCAAAAGCCCGAGACACATTCGGAGCAGATGCTATCTTCTTGTGCGCGGCGTTCTAGTATAAAGACCGCAAGCGCAACACGCTACCGCTCTGCTTAAAGGATAGTTAAATTACATCCTGGGTCCCAGTGTCTTGCAGCTAGCATACGGCGTCGCTGTCGCATCTTCACAGAGGGTGTACGCCTCCGCGAAGCCAGTGGGAACAAGTACTCAGCTTTGAACAGTGCCAGCCCCACTTCCTGCTCCACCGGACACCTGCCACACCACGCGGATCCGAAGGGCCTTGCCCAAGATGCCTCGGACCTCTTCCGACCTTGCCACTATTGGCATAAATCGACTACTATAAAACGTGAGCAGTGCTTAGTGGATGACGTGCCACTTCACATGCATCTTTGGGGCCTCGCCTTCGATGCTCTAGACCTGTCTGATTATGCCACGCATGACGTGCAGCGACTGCTTCGATACTTGAGTGGGGCTCAGTGGGTTAAGTGCCACTCCACGTGCATCGCTGAGGCCTCGCCCTCGATGCCTCGGTCCTTACCCGACCATGCTACGCATGGCATGCAGCGACTGCTTCAATACTTGAGCAGCGCTTACGTGCCACTCCACGTTCAGCCCGCGAGCCATGCTCGGGACTCCTTTTCGATACACCTTTGGTGTTCACCAACCGAATACTCCAATATCTAGCATGTTGACCGTCTCGGTCCAATGCCCGTGCCAATAGCGTTTCTGCCTCCTAGCAGCGGTTTGTTAATGACTAACCAAAGCTCCGCCAGTCGACGTGCGCGCAGCGCCCAAGGTCTTCCATCTTTAATCGATCCATGGCTCATGGGGTTACAACCATGCCATGCAAAGGATGAGGTCATGCCTTGAATCCAAGTCTAAGACTAGACAGCATTCCACGCTATCAAAGTTAAGAAATTTGACACCGAAGTCTACAGAGACTCTCGATACTGTGACGCACAAGTCCCGACGCTAACCAAACAGTGACGGCGTCACTCAACCGCGCTTTCAGCGCCTCAGCATACAGCTGACTTACATCTATCGTGTAGCGTCGAGCATTACTGCCCGGCGCCCGGAAACTTTCAAGACCTTTCATAGCTTTCCAAACCCCTTCATGATCGCTTTCATTACCTGCAAGCGCTGCTTGCGTACCGGTTCCGTGTTCAAGATCACGGAGCTCTTCGGGGCTGGCCCTGCTGCCCTCTACATCTTTGAGGCTCAACAGAACTCAATTTATCCCCAGTAGGGCGCCCCGTGCTTTCTAGGTATTGTCGCTAACCAGCGACAAACGTACAAATTCATTCTTCTGGTGATTTTTACTCTTCTGGTGATTTTTACTCTTTTACAATGACTCAAAAGCTCAATACATTGAATATAATTAAGCCGAATGTGTCAGGGCTAAATGCACAAGTGGCAATCAACACGGTTGAAACCTTACTAGCCATATCAAATGGTGTGAGTGACGGACCTGGTATCAACTAAAATCAAGTTTAGAAGTCAAAGAAGTCAAATACGGGACTCGTGATGATTCACACATACCATACAGGCTATTACACTGTAGTGGGACAAGCGCTAAAATCGAAGCCGTTGTCTGGTTTTATCTAAATCTTTGACGAAAAAGTTTTTTCGACAGCGAATTGCGTATTTTGCAAATCCATTTCTTTATTAAACCATCGCAAAGTCAAGTCATTGATTTTTGTCAATGCAAGAAACACAATTCCGTCTCAAAATCTCCGTCTCAAAAGTTTAACTGTTAAGAGTATTATCACACAACTCGAGCAAGCGGATTTTCAGCAATCCAGCAAAAGTGTCGTCGGATCATCTGTCCTGATACTTTCACATCGAGTGTGGAAAACGAGTTTCATGCTGGCGGTGGTGGACTTTCCGTAGGTTTCCGATCTCTAGAGAGATCGGTAGGTTTCGGATCTCTCGTCTCGAAGATTGAACGAGCTGGAAGGCTACGTCGACCAGCTTATGAGCATTGCTTTTGTCATATAATCTCACAGGACAATCCTCTTCTAGAATGCTGGGGTACGGTCAAAAAACTGCGACCTCGTTTTAACTTTATCAAGGATTAGGAAAAAGGTTTAATTAGATGCTCGGTAGACCAAATACCCATGACTTGACCTTCTCAGCTAATTATGACATACGATGTGTCATTTGCCAATAATTGTCAAAGAACCGACGTACGGAGCTAATTTTGTCAGCCTTTCAGAATCAGTTTACATCGGTAATTTCTCGATGCGTCATGCATTATAATGCATTATCCGTATTGATTATAAACGTCTCAATGTCTGGCAGGGGTTGCCTAAACCTGACAATAGCATACTTTGTGAAAACATTTGTCGAAATGCTTTCCTGAAGCTTTGATCAAAAAGTCTCAATCGCAATAACGCGTTCATGACATTGGGCATCTTAAAGTAAACAAATTTACGTTATGGGCCGAATCCTGATTACTCACCCCAGATTTGTTTGATTCATATTAGGTGCGCATATGACTCTTTCTGTAACGACCTGGAAAGACGCCTGTTTTGTTTCACCAATGAGATTGGCGACACATTTTGCTGCATTCCGGACATTCGTGAACTTTTTGCTATAGCGAACATTGCCTAGTTTTTCGCGGGATATGTCGAATACCATTTTTATAGCGTAGCATCCATAAGATCAAGTAGTGCCAAATATACATGAGTCGATGGCAAACATCTTATTAAACTGATAACTTAATCGCAGCTCTCAATCTCAATATGGATGTCCGCGTGCTCTGCGCTATAATATTGCATCGCTAAAAACGTTTTGACATGTACTCAATGGGGCTAAAGCAATTAGTGGAAGATCTCTGTTGGAGCCTACACCCCCGCTGCATTACGTACTCCTCATCATTACCCAATAAGAGTTATTGCTACAGCGATATCAAGCTCGCTTGAGAAACCAATTTTTACAATCGAAGTATACTGTTCAGAGTAAATCCTACCGTGCTCTGCAGAACATTCTTTTTAGATTGAAATCGCAAGTGCAATTGGCTTTGAAAGCATGCATGTTCGATAAGCCGTTCTGACAAATTCGGTCGACGCCGAGCAGGAATAATTATGAAATTGTATCGTTTGATTAGAAGGGGTCATTATCATAACAACCAGGTCGATGTCATGAAGAATGCTTTAATCTGAGGTAAAACCCGCGTTGATAATTATTTTGACACTTTTTTGGCACCCCGTAAACACTTTTTTTAACAGATCAATAGAACCCTTGATGACAGCTGACCCTCTTATAGCAGTCGTGCTCCTTAGGTGTTTTTGGTGAAAGACGTCCAAGACGGATCATGAGCTCAGCAACTTTGGTTCTTAATGTACTAAAACGGTAATCTCATTGCCGCGATTCCTTCCATTTATTATTTAACTTCTAAAATTGCTATATTGCGGCGGGGCTGCCGTAGTTCTTTGCTTAGAGATAGCTTACTAAGATCGCGAACCTAACGCTCTATATCAGAACCAGTACGAGTGTAGCGGATCATTACCCCCAAGGGCACTTAAAACCATACTCTAGGCAAATGTACTCTTCTGTTCAAGATTAAAAAATCTATTTGATTGCTTCAGCCGCGGCAGACCCGCATATCTAAAACCTTACCTTTTTCCAATTAGATAGTAATACCTACTTATTATGCATAACTACTGTCAGTCCCGCCACGTCTTGTGACGGTGCAGCCACACCATTGTGTGATTACATCAACTTGTGTAATCAACAACTTTGTACGGTCACACCATCTTGTGTGATCCACCCTGCTGTACAAGGGTCCGTGCAATTCCGTTACACTCTCCCCCATCAAAATTGTGAATACCCACAATTCACATTTTATTGTCGCCTCGTACGAGGCTAGCGTGTCTGAGACACGTTACGTCTCTAGGATGGACTTTAAGAGTTCAATGAGCCCTGAGTCCATGACACGTAAAATACCCAGCCTCGCTGGTTCTAAGGGCGCCCGCGGGCAGAGCCACAATTCGTCGCCGCCACGCAATGCATACCCGGACAATACGTCCGCGGCTTTTTGGGAGGCACATCTCAAGCCTTCGGCAACCGGCCACACACCGTGCCCGCCACGGGCGACGGAATTCCTTGCCGAGGATTTGGTGGAAGTCGACTATGAGTCGGATACTTATTTCCAAGGATGGGAAGAAGATGAGGGCAAGGTGCGCCAAAGGCACGACGTGAGCCTTGCTCAGACCTTGTGGAGACCGTGTCCGTTTTCCGACCTCTCGACTTCTGGGAGAAAAGGTATTATTACCAATCATCTTGACGAGGCACAGGAGCAGAATTCGAAGGCTGCTCAAAAGCAGCTCTCGTGCGCTCGTATCCACGTTTAGTCCTTTACCCTTGTGTGGAATACGACTTTATCTCGGCGGATCCCGCTACTGAAGCAAAAGACGCGACCACTCGATCGTTAGGCGTCTATGTAGTCGCTACACAAGCTGAGCTTGACCAGCGAAAAGCTCTCCAAGCTTGCTTCTTGGTACCTCAAACAATCCCAATGGATAGGTACCGCGCTTGACTTTGAGCTCAAAGAAGAGGCGCTCTGTATTCGCAATGTGGATTATTCCTGTGGTGCTCGTCCCTGGTTAAATCGCTGCGGAGGATGAAGAGCTCTTTGAGCGATATGTCAGCGGCACCAGAAACTTTCCCCGCTGTGTAACTTACGTCGGGGCCACAACGAAGTGGACGTACGCGTAGAGCGCCATCTTCGGTTTGATTTTGCCATACATAAGGCGTGACACCAAATTCCAACGCTATTGTCGCCCTGCGACACGTGAAATAATCCATCAGGCTCCCGCGAGCTCTGTGGTCCGGGTTAGTCTACAACCACATCAGCTCAGGACCATAGCTTAAGCTCAATTCGGAACCATAGCTTAAGCTCAGATCATGGCTTCGGCTTCCAGGGCTACTACCGTGAAGCGCGGGGCGTACGACGACGCGAAGCGTCATGATCTCTCTGATCGTAAACGACCACGACGTCTGGGCAATCTTGCCGAAGGGACATCTCAACCTCCCACGAGCTTAAGAAATTTGGTTTTGTTCCACCACTTCGTAAGTTATTGGGTTTGACCCTATCGACGACGTCGACCCGCAAGGCGTTCCACGTGGTGGTGGATACCACCGTTCTCGTCGAGAAAGGTCGGCGGTGGATGACGACGACCTGGTCGATCGCCGTCCGATGACTCGCGATGCTCTTCAAGTTCTGGATGACAAAGTCCGTCGTCAGCGGTACTCCGCCGAGCATCCCCCAGGTAGCATACCACTGTGGGAAAGACCTCGAGAGCTTGGAGCACTTTGTTCACCGACTGCCTCACGCTGAGGACTATGCGCTCTGTCGAAGCGGTTCGTAGCCTTCAAGAAGACGAACGTGTCACATCGTATAACGATGGAGCGCTTTGGGCCGTTGGGAACGGAAATCGCTGCGCTCCGGGCTCAGCACCAGTTGCTGGTTTAGCTTCTGACTTTATAAGCGCCTTTAGGCGCAATTCTGGCGTTTACGCTTCTTGTTTCCCTTGTGTCGGATCCCGATACGGCTTAAGCAAGCCCGCATAAAAACACTGGGTGGGTGATCATATGTCTCGGACGGTTTAGCGTATACGCAAGGCCTCGCTTGGCCACGACCTTAAAATGTCTAATTATTAACCTTGAACAAAAAAATTCTTATAGACAGCAAAGACTGCATGTGTGGGACAGGTTTCTGGCCTCAAAAATTTTGCATCTTGCATCTGCATATCTTGAATTTTAGCCATCGCATCACAAAAGTGTCGTAGGACACACAGTCGGATAGACAAGAAGTCATGAACTTTTTACGGACAGTGAGGGGGCTAGCATCTGCTAGCCGTTCGGCAATTTCACCCCAACAAACCCTGAGCCATGGGATGGTGGCGTCAGCTGGACACGAGGGCTGACATGCTATTCGCAAAGGCGGACGTGTAGCCAGCGGACGAACGCACTGCATGTTCAGAGCGAACGCTACAGGTGACAGCATGGCGCTCCAGCGCCTCGTCATCTCAGCGCAGCTGCTGCAAAGAGCGTCTTCAACGACGCGAGCCATACGCTTACTTTGACCATTGGTTTGCGAATAGTCGGCTAATGACATAGTCAGCTTGGTGCCCAGCTCCCTAGAGATTGTCGACCGAAACTTCCCAGTGAAGCGTAGGTCTCTGTCAGAGACAGTTGACTCCACGAGTCAATGTTGTCAAAAGACACGACCCACAAACAGCGTCGCTTTACCCACACAGTCGATGGGGTTCGGCACTGCTGCAAGATGAGCTATCTTGCTCTAATGTTGACAAAGACCACCACACCCGTGTTGCCCGCGGAGTTCTTCGGCAGGCCAAACACAAAGTCCATACTCATGGACTGCCAGCAACCTGAGGGTCCCGGCAAACTGGCCAGCGTCACAGCCGCAATCGAAGAGGGTTTCACCCTTGACACGTCTCACACGTGCGCATATATTAGCTCGTCCATTTGTACAGCTTGGGCCACTGATAGTGGCGACTCACCGAGCTTTACGACTTCTTTCAGCCGAGATGACCACTGAGTAGGGTCTTGTGGGTATAAAAGAGGATAAAGAATTTCATATCTCACCGCGAGAAACCACAATTCGTGGCGTACCATCGAATCGGTGCTATAATACAGCAATACGTTACTCAATGAATATTGGTGTAACCGTGCGCGCAATCGCGCTGACAAATTCTTGTGCAAGTTTAAACTCCTTACTCCCGAGATCCTGGAGCATCGCTAGAAACATACCGTCACCCACGTATGCGGCGCTGATCAAATCCGTCACTGACGACGTCCTGCGCGACAACGCATCAGCCAAAGCATTCTGCTTTCCTGGCTTAAACTTCACCTCGGAATTATATTCTGCGAAGAAGGATAGCCACCTTGTCATCCTCTGCGAGAGATGAGGCGACTGAGTCGGAGTGCGTATTGACGCATGATCTGTGTAGATTACAAACAGCTGTGAGCCAAGCTGGCGAACCCTGAATTTGACAAGTGTATGCTTCATTGCAAGTAGTTCCTTGTCGTGAAGTGGGTAGTTCCACTCCGCAGCCTTCAGCTGGCGAGATTCGAACGCGATCACCCAATCTCACCTCTCGGCGTCTGCATGTAACAGTACACAGCCGATGGCAAAGTCTGAAGCGGCGCAAATGAAACAAAACAGGACGATCGGGATCTAGCAGCGCCAGTATTGCTCCATGAAAGAAGCTGTTTCTGACCCTGTCGAAGGCCTCCCGACGCTCGGTGTCCCAACACCATTCTGCATCCTTCTTTACACAATGACCGCGCCATTTTTGCGTTGTTCCTGCTGTACTTGCGCATGTAGTTGGCGAGACCAAGCCACTTCCGCGAGGAGTTTTGATTCTTTGGAGCTGGCCAGTCCACAATGGCCTTGGCCTTAGTAGGATCCGCTCGATGGCCTCGCTTCTCGATGAAACACCCTAAAAAGGATTTTTTTTAGGCGCCGAAGGTGGCATACAGCTTATTGGTGCGCATACACTCAAGCATCGCTCTTAAATGGACGACGTGGTTTTTCATCCGTCCTCTCGTGCTTCGCATGACTGTGGACAAAAATGTCGTCAAAATATGTCTGTGCATACGCCTGGTGGGGCATGAACAACTGCGCCACAAAACGATTAGATGTTGTTTGTGTATTTGAACGCCCTTGGGCATCGCTGGACACTCCCGGAGCATCCCGCTCGGAGTCCTCACCGCTATCAGCAAAATATCACTCGCAACTGGTAGTAGCCATCGCCCTAGTCGAGCGCACTGCACTTTGTACAGCCAACCTTCCTGGGAATTGGCGACCGTGTTGGAGTGGTAGCAACGCTTAGCTTATTGTAAGCTTACACTATACGCCACTTTCCCTTCGGTTTCCGGACACAAAACTTGGGTGTCGAATGGGGAGACTTACTCCCACGCACCATTCCTGCGTCGTGCTTCGCACAAAAAAGGCGTCAATGACGTCCCACAGGGGCCGATGGGCAGTATTTGGTTACTAGGTTAATCTCATGACACAAACCTCGGTCCGAAGGTAGGTCCGACGGTGGGTCTTTGGTGATGACGTCTTGAAATTCCTTCAACAAGGAATAGCACGAATCCAAGATATTCTTCGGGATCAACGACCCACCTCGTGCGCTCAACACCCGTTTGATTTCCTCAAAAACAGCTTCATCCAGAAGCGACGAGGAGTTGTACTCTTCATCAGGTCGTACAATGACCACTACGGCTGAGTCGACTGCCTTCAAGGCACCGCCAAACACTTTGAAGAAAATCTCTTCCAGCTCAAGACGAGCATCCATCTGCTGTGCTATTGTCTACTGTAGGCACATCCTGGGTCACGGTCGACGACCAACGCCTTGCAGCATCGCCGTCGCCTCTCCACAGAGGTCGAACATCTTGGCGAGACCACTTCTCAGCGTCGACCAGTGTGAGCCCCAGTTCCTGCTCCGCCTTGACGTTGTTAACAGAATTCGACGAAGGGCTGCTAGCCCAGCAGTCTTTGTTCAAAGGCTTACGTGCCATTTGAAGAGCCTTGTTCAAGATCCCTCGGACCTCGTCCGACCATGTCACTCGTGGCCTGCAGCTACTGCTCCAAAACGTGAGCAGTGCTCAGTAAATTTCGTGCCACTCCACGTGCATCAATAAGGTCTCGCTTTCAATGTCTCGTTCATTGGCCGCAAGGCATGCAGCAACTACTCCGATACTTGAGCTGCGCTCAGTGGGTTACGCGCCACTCAACGTTCATCCCGCGAGCCATGCTTGGTACTCCTGTCCGATACACCTTCGGTGTTTGACAAGTCGGATATTCCGATCTCCAACACGTTGATCATCCCGGTAACGTGCCCAACCTAATCGCATTTTTGACTCTAAGCAGAGTGGATTCATGACTCACCAAAGCCCCACCAGAAGACGTGCATGTATTGCCGAAGGTCTTCGACCTCCAATCGATCCATGACTCTTAATGTTCCAACCATACCATACACAACAATGAGGTCATGCCTTAAATCCAAGTCTAAGACTAAGAAGCGTTCCATGACATCGAAGCCATGAAAGTTGACGCCGGAGTCCACAGGAACCCTCGACACAGTGACACAAGTCCCCGTCCTAAGCAAACAGTGACGGTGTCACTTTACCGCGCTTCCAGCGCATATAGCTGACTTCCTTCGATCGTGGAGCGTCGACCGACGCACCAGGACCGAAAAGGATCTATTACGGCTTTAAAGCTCTTCACGGTCGCATTTATGACCAGCAATCCAGGCTTGCATACATATTCCATGCGCACGAAACTCTTCGGAGCCGGGCCCTGCTGAGCAATACCTCCTTGAGGCTCAACAAACTCAAATTCTCCCCAGCAGGCACTCCGCGCCTACTCCATTAGGCCGGTAACTTTGATCGCCTCAGAGAGAGAATCGTTTGCCATACCGGCAAAGAGAGTACATAACGCTTCGAAAACGTCCTCCAATTTCTTCTTGGACCGTCAGGCGGCTAGGAAGCGCGATCGCACGCGATATGCCTGGTTAGACGGCGCAAACACTCGTGAAAGCTGCAGCTTCAGCTTCGTCCAGGTTGAAAACGCCGTTTCGACCGAAGAACCACACGTCAGTGCCCATTCTCGCTCTAGACCACCGAGCTTGGAGATAGCTAGCGCCACGCACTGATGCTCGGTCTGGAGTGTGACGGACGCCATGGCCATCTCGACCTCTCTGACCCAGAGCAGGAAATTCTCTTCATCCTTGACGTCGAAAGCCTTAACACTCACCATGTGCGACTTGGGTCGGAGGGAGTCATCCTTCGTCGACGGTGGCGTCATGGACGCAGTCAAAGCCGATATCTTCTGCTGTTGGCATTTCTATAACTTAGAAACGCCGCTAGTCGCCCGCCGATCGGTTCAGATCTTTTCGAAACGAGGGGTAGACACCCTCTGTGCCAAAAAGAGACATCACCTTTTTAAGCCCGTTCTGCATGCCCCGAAGAAAAGAAAACTGCTCCTTCCTCAAAGAGGGTTAGCCGTAATTTCTCAGGCGTAGATTGACTACAAGTTTTACCAAGTGCAGCGGGGCTGCCGTCGGTCTTTCGCTTAGAGGAAGCTTGGTTAAGGGCGATGACTATCGATATATACTAAGAACCAGTACGAGTGTAGCGGATCGCAATCCGCTCGCTCCACGATTGATTACATCTTTAGCCCAAGGCTAATTTACCCTTCCGTTATTCGTGCTAACTGTTTTTCCCGGTTTCATTTGCGGCATAGCCGCCTATATCTAAATCTTTAGGTTTTCCTATCGATAAAGTAAAACCTGATTAAATGTATAACTACTGGCTGTTCCAGCCACTATGTAAGCCGCACCATCTCGCGTGACCCAGACGCTTCATACCAAGGGTACGTGAATACCCTTACACATTTGGTGTAATTGTACAAAATGCAATATAGCACACACATTAAACTTGAAATACTTTTAAAATTTTAAAGTCCCGAATGTCAGCTACTTAAAAGCTGTTGGTCTGGAAACCGTATTCTCTGTTTATTCGTTGACGCGGGTTCTGGAAGTCAAAGCTTCCGGTATGCAAAATGCATGGTAAATTCGCTGCACATTGAGTCAAAAATCTCGTCGTTCGCTTGTAGAAATGGTGCAATTAATCGCTCGCGGCTTAAGCTAAATGCTTCCATAGCTCGAGTTGATCAGGATTATTAAACGGCCAGCACAATGTTGAGTGCATCCATATGCTTAGACTCATTTAGATAGTTTTTCTATTGCGTACTCGAGTACAAATATTGTATGAGTAATTTTCTCACGCCAAGAAGTCATTACGGATTAAAATTATCGTCTGTGCTCGTGGTCTTCGTAATCAATGTGTGTACCGATCTAGCTACTAATGCTTAAACTGTCTTTGAGTTAGCTGAAACACTTGTAAAACTCCGTTCTAACAGCATATACATGTACAATATGTAAAGGTAAAATCAAAATAAAACACTACACTTTGATTAATTTGGACTGTAAATTAAGCACTGAACCTGGGTTTTTACATTACATTTGGGCTTACAAAAGAATGGCCTGGTTATAGAATGTCTCCTAAGCTTTTCGTTCTTCCATACATCGCGGGCAATAACAAACAAATTGATACTCCCTACCAAATACAAATTAATACTAAACATTGAATACGCTTTTGACAGAAAAGATAAAAGACACAAAACACACCGAAGACATTCTTCTCGCTCATCCACCTCTTGGTCCACATCGATGTAGGAAATGCACAGCTCCTCACCCTCCTAAATAACATTAAACACAAAAACTTAGCAAGCTAATAAACGTTACGCTATGCAAGTCCAAGCAACTTACTGCAATATCTTGAACAGCAAAAACGTGAGCGGCTCCGTCCTTCGTGTACAGCACCGTACAGTTGGGGTCACAGCTGTGATTCATCGTACATATACCAGAAAATAGTGCCGTGCCTTCTACACCAACAAAGTCCTCATCCAGAGCATAACATTCTTCTTCGTCGTGTTCTTGATCGACTTCATGCTCATTACATTCGTCACCGCGATGCTTGTGTTCGTCTGTAAATTTTTCTAGTGCTTCTTTCACTCGTGCCAGCACTGGTGGCATCCCTTTCTCTTCCTCGGGACTTGCAGCACTCAACGCTTCACCTAATGCATGAAACGGATGATCAATCTCCATACTGATGTTGTTCATCTCAAACATGCCCACAACGTGGCTGAAAAAGTCGACGTTCAGCACATCAGCACACGAGGCCAACATAGCATCGAGTGAAAGACCGTTGAGCTCTCCTTTGGCCTCTAAATGCACTAGATTCTCCTTCAGACCGCTAATAAAATAATCAAAAGTCTGTGAAATGAGAGATCGAAATTTGTCCCGATATTGCTCCAGCGTTTCGCTCTCTTCAAGATCGTCTTCTGATGTAATAACTTCCCACCACGGTAGCTTACAAAACATATCAACCGGTTGTCGTGCCTGTGTCATGTTTTGAGTCGCTATAAAAAGCAGTAGAATCTTGGCTATAACCTTGGCTGCTAGCTGAAAAATTTCATTCGTCACGAGTGTGTGATTAAGGAACTGTCCCATTGCGTTCTCTCGCTCTTCTGTTCGTGGACATAATAGCGCGTGATGTTGCACATACGCAATATCCTTGCACGTATTAGAGCAATAGAGCGCGCCACACGTGCACTTCACTTGACTTTCAGCCAATTTAAAAACAGAAAAGTAGCTTTCTTCAGGACTTTTGCCTCCTTCCTTTTGCAAAAATGTGATTGCAGCTTCAAAATCAGCAGCGGTAGCAGTTGACTCATCAGCAAGAGCTCCACCGCCCTCAGCTGTGATACTGTTGGATACTACGCGGGCCCAACAGGCTTTGCTATCAATGAGCGGTACAAAGCAGTTGTCACAGCAATCAACAAACTCCTTATTGTCCTCGTGTTGCATGGCTACGAACGGTGCCTCAGTCCAAATGGGCTCACCAGCTTTAATTGCGCGATCAGCAAAGATAGCTTTGCCCTTATCTTTCTCTCCAACGCCACAACGAATTGGTGGACTGTGAAGTCGGGTCTGCAGCAGCGCCTCAAAGTACGCAGTCACCTCGGACCAATTAAATTGCATTGGTCTGTATGAGGTACTATCACGTCTTTGCGGTGGGTATTAATGGTACGAGTGTGCCTCTTACGATTGAAGAAGGCAGAGATGTGGTTGCTGACTGGTTAAGCGTGCGATGCCCGTCAACACTGAGATCTCGTGTCTATCTCGTTTTTAATTAGTAAATCTATGCGTTATTACTGCGAATTTTCTACTAGTCATAATAAATCCAATTGTACTTGCGTTTGCGCAGCGACAACAGCAACCAATTGTAATGACTCATTTCTATGTCTCATTGGAAACTATCTACCATATTGTCTCGACACGACGACGCTTCTGTCGGCTGGGCACGTGTTTCTTCCTATTCATCGTAATTGTAGTTGATATCTTGTCGGTAGATACTGCTGCAAGCACAATTGGAACATTGCCACCGCCACATTGTGTTAGGTGCATGGGGCTCAAGCACTGCACCATAATGAATGGGCAATTCATGTTCGACCCAATCGCTGGATACTCCAGGTATTAGGCAAACTGCACTATATAGTCAAAACTTAACTTTTATACTAATTTCGCGATTCAGAGTACCATCTACGCAACTTGAGAAACAGGGTGTGTGCGAGGATTTAGACGCCAAAACGCTTGCACTTAGCGCCTTTGGGCCGCGAGCGCAGTATAAAGACACGTCATTGTGCCACAAACTGGTGTGGAATTTCCACTGTTTATCGTGGGTGACCACATCATTCAAAAGAAGTGTGAATGGAACATTTGTAAATTGTGGCACCAAAAATGGATCTAGCAATATTCCATTGCCGCCGTGTCGTTCATTGTGCGTTGAAGTGGCGGACAAGTGCGTTTACTCGCACTTCTATCGAATGTATCTGGATGAAGTGTGTGGAAACATTGGATGCTTGACCGAAATTCAGGAAGCCAGAATTAGCGGCGCTCACGGCATCAACGTGGCGGAAACCACGTGTGTTTCTGGAACGTGGGTCTACAATGAGAGCAAGACCTACTCGCGTTGCTCTACCCGCTCTTTTGAAACACCTGCGGCAACAGCAGCGTATGAAGTTGTCAATAACGGTGTTGCTTGTCTATATCTGTTGTGTATATTGTTGCTGACATTTTGAAGCCATTGATCCAATGTATATTATGAACATTCTTTTTATTTCAAATACAAGAAATGAAAAGTCGAAAACGTCTGACGTGCATCCAGGATGACCATTTAGTGGCAATTCTGAGCAGCCGATGTGACAACGAAAACGTGTATTTTAAGTCAAGACGCTATCTTCGAGTGCATTTTAAAAAGTCGACAGTAAATTGTGGAGGACATTCTTAGTGCAAGGGTGCTGCTTGCTTGATTGCGAGGTTTCGGACTTTGCGCTACAAACGTGCGAGGAACAATGCGACGTAATCCAAACAACAGAAGACATCGATCTCTGTACGTGCTTTGTGTACAGTAAGCGCAGTATGGAGAAAATGTTGCTTTGCGCAACATCGTGGTGACTGACTTCATTGTGCAACCTATGGATACCATACCTTAGACGCGAATCAAATCCCGTAAATTGCGCACCACGCAGACTCCAAAAATATAGCATAATGTGGCCGATATTCGTCATCTTACTTCTGTTTGGCCTCAATATGAACGCTTGACTTACCAACATACTCCCCCAAAATGTCACTGACATCTAGACGTGTCGTCGTAAAGACACTTAATCAAGGCCATAGCTTTGTGGAGCTATAAGTGCTCGGGTACGAAAAGCGTTACCTGTAGATAGTTCGGGCTTTAGCAACCCACTTGACAATATTTCGAGGACGTGGCATTTTGCAGGAGTCGAGAAAATATTTGCTGAAGCCTTTGCAAGAGAATCGCGGTTGCTATGCGCTGAGCACAGAAAAGCTTTTTCCCAGAGTTTGCATTCGCACGTGTGACGAAATAAACTTCTGGAATTAAATTATATTTAAATCCATAATTCAGTTAGAACTGTCTGAATTACTGTATGTCAATATAAAACTTTATCAGCGGGGTTCAGACATGGACCGCGCAAAGTAATGATTTGGTAGCATTCTACTTCCTAAAGAAGTAGAATGCTATATGAGCTATTTGGCCTGCATGCTAGCAATTCGTCGGCCTGCCTTTTTTGTTTAACCATGTGTTTCTCTATGTTCTGCATCAAACAAAGTGAAGAAAATTCCGACATGGCACGACCTTTTAACAGCCTCCTTAAACATGATACCGACTTCCTGAGGTACGATAGATGTAACAATCCTGAGGGCTGTATGAGAGAGTCTCATGACCCGTTGGTGTGGGTCGAGTGGTGAATGCTTCTGGAACTAACGTTGTGTGGCGCGGGCTCGAGCCACTCAGCGGACAAAATCGTAAGCGTACCAGACATGCAAGAAATGTCGGCTGCATGCAAAATATTACCGACAACAGCCAATAAGGACTTAGGGATGGCAACTCGTACAAGAAATCAAGAATTGAAATCAAGAGAATAATACCCCAGCGGAATGAAGCAATGTAATTTCTTAGTCAGGGCCGAGTAGGTATAGCCGTGTAATAAGATAATACATGGCAACTTTCAACTGAGAGAGTCTCATGTATGCCCAAATCTGGCTTTTCCGAATCTAATTTTTGTCTTCTGTGACGCTTCTGTTGGTAGGATAGGCTGTGCTTCACTCCACGTAGATGTCAATGGGCATAAGAGTGTTATGGTGATTGATTCTTGCCAGCTTGAGCGGCAAACAAATATAACAGTGCTCATGACAAGGTGCTCTTTTCAATGCGGTTGACTCTTGTCATGCTCAAGGTGCACCTACTTGACTACGATCTGGTTGCGACCTATAGAAATTCTGCATCGATGCGTACAAAAAGGGGTCACCTCACATAGATCGGCAACTTGATTATCCATCTTTGCTCCTGCCTTGAAGGCAAGGTGTAAACCGAGTCGGCATAATGCGGTGGTTGATGCGAATTTGCGTCGCTCCAAATATGAATCGTCACATCTCACGATTGTGACGCTGGTGAGCACCACTTTTTCCCATCCCGTAACTTTCTGGATCATAGAGCTGACTCACCTGGCACGCAACATGTGGTAGTATCCCATGACTAGAGTCTTGAGCACAGAATACTGGTCGAAGAACATAATATTCTTCAGGTGACCATCTCGAGAGCAAAAAGACTGATTGCTCATCAGCGCTATTTATTGTTAAACCAACATGTATAAACGAGTAAGCAGATATATAGAAAACTTTGAAATGTGTCAGCCGTTCGAGCCCTCTCTACATACGCTGAAATGTTTTGATGTGGCCTGCCGGTCGTCGTTGATTAATTTGACTACAGAGTGTTGTTCCACTTTCCTAAATGGGCATATCTCTTCCAGATAGAGACGAAGTGCGGTGAGGATCTACAGTTTGGTGAGTGGCCAGGCCTTATGTGTTCGAATTAGGGTGGAGGTTTTGGGTCGAAGCTTGAAATGTTGTTGCGACCGTTCTAATCGGAGTATATTCTGGAAATTTCACCAATTATTTCTACGAGGACACCTTGCAAGAAGCGCACCTTTTTGAAGGCTCGCTGATGCACTTGATCTAGTGTACAGAAGGTGACTCCGGCGTGATTATACTCTAAGAAAAAAGCATGATAAAGTGCAATGGGTAAAGCTAGTATCCGATCTTAGCGATTGTTTGTTGAGCGCTCACTTTTGCGCAGTGTCTTGCAGAAAAGAGAAATGTGAGCTCCGGTGCCATCCATATCTTAAGAATCGCTATAAATGAAGTAAGTACTCCAGCATTGTGTACTTTTACCAAGCAAATTTGTTTAATTGTGAATAATAGAATACTACCAGTTGTACGAATTTACTTTGAGAAATTTCTATGTACTATGCATTGGTATTCACGAACTTCTTATATCTGTGTTAAGAAGAGGACCATGGCACACGTGGGCTTCAAGTCATACGTCAAGTCATGAAGACAATTCAATAATAATATAAAAACAATCTATCTGGCAAAAAATGATCGCAAATGTAATTCACGCTTTGAAAAGCAGAACAAACTTATGGCCTTCGATCAACTTTTAAATGAAGCGCAGACCGTTTGAGACAAAGCTTCTTCTGTGTATTCTGTGTGATACAAAATGCTGGTTCCTACTTGAGAATATGTACTGGTGACGACACCGACGTGTGATTGTCTCTTGAAGTGGGTGGCGTAAGCCAGTCCCTTCTACAGATACTTCCAACGAAAGTTGAGGTTCAAACTTTCGAAGTTTTAGCTCCGTACACCCAATATTTGGTTTAAGGTGAACTGACGTTCAACGTTCAGTATAACCTTGATCTATAAATCAGGAATGCAAGGTTTTATCCGTAAACCTCTAGGGGACTTGAGGTGTTTGCATGTAGCTAGGAACCATAAATCATCTTCATTCAGCTGAAAATTTGCCTTAGAGACCTTGAATCGTTCTTTTTTCCTCCGATTCAGTGCTATCCCTCCCCCTCCAGGCTGGGAATCACCTCCTTGTTACTCAAGCGTACTGTGAATAGCGCCAACCTAACCTTGTAGCACATCAAGCGGTCTTTTCAACGACACTCAATTTTATTTTGACGATGCGGCTGTTGAGCACGTCGTGCATTCCAGTCCAAGCGTTACTCTTGTCCTTGTCCAAGTGACATGAAACGAGTTGGGGTACCACTCGACTCAGCAGTACTTTAAACTGAGGAGTTTACAATTGAGATATTTTGTCATCTTTCTTCCAATGAGTGGTTGGCACTCGGATGAATATGAGAAGTCATTGAAGAAGCAGAAGTGGTCCGTTAACTGCAGTCGTCTTCTCGGTATGATCAGAAGAACGCGTCCGTCGGTTCATGCATCAGAAGATTATGGAAATTCTGGGAACAGGTCGCAACCCCTGATCCTTCTTAAGGAACGATGCCTCTGAAGCTTTACGTGTCTTTGTATCATAGCGGAGAGAAGGAACCTCTCTCACGATAGATTGTCGAGTTGAACATAGCAATCACTGGAAGACAACTGCGACACTTTTCCGCAAGTGTTGCTAGCGATGTCCAACGTTGGGTGTATGCTAAGCACTAAGCCAATCACCACAGCTTTTCCAGCTACGATCACACCAAAATCGATCTAAAGAAGATATTTGATTCACCAGAGTGACGTCCGTGCCCGTGCCAAGTTCTTGAAGCTTTGTCAAGGACGTTCAGACGTACACTCGTATGCACAGCATGCTCGCAACTTTGTATCGAGCATGGTCGACGAGCCAATTGACATTTCAGCGTAAGTTGTAACATTCATAACAGGCTTGAATAATGGTCCAACCGTAAATTAACTGCTCCGTGAGTATCTCAAGGCGATGAACGATGCCATCAACCTATCGATGCAAAAGAGTTAAGTATCAAGCAAACCAAGTTAAATGGCTTCGTACCGAGGCATGCGCGCCGGTCGACTGGTTCATGTGATGGTTCAGAGCCGACTAAAATCTAGTACATATTCACGCCTGGAAATATTCGTATCGCAGCAATGGAAAGTGTTTCCGTTGTGGAAAGGCGGTTGGAACCGCAGAGTCGGCAACAGACATGTGCTGGTTTGGATAACTGCGGACGCTATCAAAGTCGTCGGTTCGAACGCTCCCATGGGTAAAAAAAAGAGAATGACCAGTTGGGGCGGGGAACACTACTGGGCTAAGGAAGAGTACGGGATACACAGAACTCTGGTTCTGACCTGCTTGATAAACATGCAAATTTTACTATAAGTGATGGAAGTGTCAGGCAACGTTCGACATTGATTGTCCAAGAAGTCTTTAATGATGGGGTCTGAGAAGCCACCACGAGCTTTGATTGACACTGGACTTTGTTCGAGCGCAAGTTACGACTCGGCATGGTGTTGGCCTGCCCATTGTGTAAGAAGAAATGAACATTTGTTTAACAAATGGATCTAGAATAAAGATGTCAAAATCAGTTATTTTCTTGGCAATGAAGTCTGGGTACTTCCTAGTTGAAGACGAGTTTATCCTACTCGACCTCGATGATAAGTTTGATACCATCCTAGGTATGCCGTGGTTAAAAAGTTACCAACCTAGCATTGACTGAATGAATATGAATATCGTCGTCAACAAATCGTGATGCACTGATTCGAACTGCATGACGACGAAAGAAATGACATAAATATACGCATCTGTTGACGAAGCCACAGATTTTTTAATTGTTGTGTGCGATGGCCCCCCATGTTCACAAAACAAACTTAACAAGACGAAAGAAAAGGCACCAATTGGAGGGGGAGCAGTCCGGCGCCAGAAAAAGCATATTTCCTTTGCCATCGACATGGATGTTTTTCCGTCAAGTATTTTGCGTAAGGTACAAGTTGTTTCGATAAGGAAAGTTATTAAGAACAGGACATTTCAAGCAAGTTCCTGAATGTTGTGGCGTCCAGCGATGGAAGGGCACGTCGATGTTATCCGACACCTATATATTGAAAATCCTTCAAAATCAGTCAAAGAGTTATTATCCTTGCCGTTGATGATCAAGAAGATGCTAAAGTGTCGCCTGGCAAATTGCAAAATATCGCAAATATGTACGATCGTCGAAAAAACTAAGGATGATGACATCAATACTGCGGAAGTGATTCATGAGAAGGCGCGGATGGAAAGGTCTGAGGAGTACTCGTGGGACACTCTGAGGGCAAACCCTGTGCATGGATTTGTCAAGCAATCACGTATAAAATATTTTTTTAGATGATCAGCTAGCGATATAATCACAGGTAACAGTGTTGCTGACAGCAGCGCGACCGGTCAATCTGCTCATACGGTCCGCAACGACGAGAATGCCGGTAATACAGAGCTGTCAACATATGATCTGGCCAGGAAGCTTATGCATGTGGCGAAGGCTTTATGTTGGTACATTTCACATGTGCACACAAATTTACTTAATTAATTTGCACATGTCGAGCCACCAGTCGTGGGTGCTATTCTTAGCGTCGTTGCCGTGGTAGCCAACTCTCAGGTGTACCGTTGAAGTGAAGTCCTCATCATTAAGCGTAAAACGAGGTACGTTCTGTTTTATGGTACTCGTGCACATTAAAGCATTGTTCTTCGGATCTAGTTTAACAGTACAACGAGTCCGTAACGAGATGTCTATAGGACACGTGGGCTGTGGTAGCTTAAAACCAGTTATATTCAGCATAATGAAACAGATATTATAATTAGTACTCGTGAAAATGGGAGATTTTTCGAAATAAATGTAACTTGAGATAGAACAGCAAACTCGACTTATGTTTGCATCAAAAGCTTTCAGTTCCGCTACTGAATGATGTGCGCAAATTTATTTCATCTGCGTCAGCTAATTCAGACTCGTAGAGTTAAAGCTACATCTGTGTTAACCTGTTTCTCTATGAGTATCTGGTATTGTTTTGGCAATGCGCTCTCGAGCTTTATAAATTGAAAGACTTGAAAATATACACAAAACGCTCCTGGGAACAATAGGTTTTGACCAGAACCACTGTCAAATTTTCAAAGCTCGAGATTCAAGCTTTTCTCTCTCTTTCGCATTCGTAAGACGTGATTGGTTAAACTCATTTAGATACCGGTAATTTCAAAAGTACTGCAATTTTCCCGACTTTTTAAATCTGTAGACTTTCGTCCGACTTTTCACATATCGCTCCGAATTCGAAAGCCTTCCACACTCTCTGTTCAAACCTTCGTCACGAAGTTCGGGCGCTTCGAGACGCACGAAGCACGAAGAAGGAAACAAAAAACAGCAGTTTTGGTAGTGATGGAAGACAATGTTAACGCAGATATAGAGGTGGAAGTGTCGCCGCCGTGGAAAGCTCTTAAGTCGTCGGCTTTTATGAGCATCAAAAGTGGCGGACTGCGTACAGCCCGACCCGACCGTAAGTGGCCTGCATCGTCTCCTGGTCGGCCGCGTCCGATATACTTGTTCTTACCTTGTGAAATAATGAATAGTTAATCGATACTCGAGTGTAGCTGCACCGTACGGCCCGACCGACCCAATTGCTGGCACATATTTTCAGGTAGTCATCAGCAAAGCCAAAGCTCCGATTGTGTGTGGTGACGCTGGACCGGTGAAAGGCAAGGCCATATATGCTAATCAAAATCTTCCTAAAGCTACTCCAATCTGGACGGAGTCACCGCTTGTAGCCATGCAACACGAAGTGAATCGAAGTCAATTGCCATGCTGTCAATTTTGCTACTTGCCTCTACTTGGAGACGCTCAGCGTCAGTGGCATGACATTGTTACAAACTACAACATGCACGTAGCTAGTTCCATTACACAAACAAATGCTAAAATGACCAAGAATATGAAACATAGCACTGGCAAGACAACAACATCGACGATTGGGACTGGAAATATATCATGTCAGGATTCGATTCAACAACCAGTAGATGTGGACGCATTGGAGAAGGCACTTAAACTTTTACGTATCACGCCACAAAGCTGCGGGATGGCGGGACCGGAAGCTGAGTGTGTATGTGGAGAACTCTACTGCTCGAAACTTTGTCAAATGCGAGCGCTTCACGAATACCATGCTATTCTCTGTCCACGTAACGACTCTTGCTCAGCCATGGGTGAATTTTTGAACCACACACGCCACACGAACGACATTTTTTTACTGGCAGCCAAAGTGATTGCCCGTGTGTTGTCGAGATATTTGATATGGCGAGATATTGTCAAAGCACGCGAACCTATTGATATGTTTTATAAGAAACCATGGTGGGAAGTTGTGATTATTGAGCATAATGACGTCGAGTCGCTACCTCAACAATTTCGAGTTAGTAAGGAAACAGAGGAAATGACTGAAACTTGTAGTGACCAAGCAGGGAATGATAGCGAAGAAAACAGCTGTAGCGATGAGAGATCACCAAATGATGTCAAAGATATCGAAGAAGAGCAAAAGGTTGCCGACATTTCGGAACCTTTTACAGAAAGGTCAAGTATGCAACAGGAATTGACGCATCAAACGCAAGAGCAACGTGAAAATGATGAAACGTGGACCAGTGTGTCGACCAAAGCTCAGTGTTTGCAAGAAGTCTTAACAATCACGCATCAATTGCTTTTGGATGCGCTAGAGTGCAATCTTGTTCGACTCGAGCGGGAAAGACAGCTACGTGGTGTGACGGTCGAAGAAATCTGGCGCTGCTGTTCAAGTGTGTTAAGTTTTGAGTTTTTTACCGCTCAAATCGGTCTATTTGAAATGAATAACATCAGTATGGAGGTGGATCATCCTTTTCATGCCTTCATTGACATCCTAGACCCTGATGTACAAAATGACTTAGCAGCAAGTGATTCGGATCATAGCGAGGGAGCGACAAGCAGCATCATGTCGCCAAGGTTCCAGCCACATCTTACTGCTGAAGACCATGTTTTACTCAGTAGTGTGCGACGGGTGCTTGAGTGGGAGAAAGAACGATTGCAGATGCTTCGAGTGCAACAACAGTTGGAAGCGAAGGGCAACGACTTAGATAGTCGCGACGTGGCTTCTGTCATATCGCTTGGATTCCCAAGTGTTGAAGGCACTGCACTGTTTCCAATTATTTGTACAATGAATCACAGTTGTGACCCCAACTGCACAGTCATGTACACTAAAAATGGCGACGGTCACGTGGTCGCCATCCGGGATATTCAGAAGGGCGAGGAATTGTGCATCTGCTATATTGACGTGGACATGGATGTGCAAACGCGTGAAGCTAACTTGCGCGAGTATAAGTTTAAATGTTTTTGCTCTCGTTGTGTCCAGGAACGGCAGCAAGTAGAGCAGCAATTTGCTTACCACGATCAACAACTCGTGGAGAACGATAGACCTCGACATTTGTCTCCGAAGAACTTGAGGACAAAAAGCGGCACCCACGTACGGTGAATATTTGACATAGCAACAGAAGGAAACGGAACGTAGCTCAAGAACGATCATTACATCGGAAACAAGAAACAAAGAGGAGAAATTTAGGTAGCCGGGAAATGAGTTGATGTATCATGTTTTGTGATGATAATTTGAATGATTAGATTGAGTTTATTCAGCTACTGATTCAAATAAAATCAGAGTTGATAAGTTGCAGCCGCGCCTGAGATACCATTAAAGATGTAAGTGTGGTTTAACGGCTCAAATTGATGTGTGATAATCTTAATCGCCTCCTGCGCAGCCATCCCGCCCATCAAAGCGGCAATATTGTGCAGCTCTACTTCGCTGGAACGGGTCATCTCTAGTACGTGATTGTCAGTAATCCAGTCGGTCACAGCACTGCCAGTAGCCAATTGCTTAGCCTTTGACACAAGCCACGTGCCGTCTTGAACAGCAGTACTATCTTCTGAGCCAGGGCACCGGTGAAACTCGGACGCAAACGCTGACACTGCACGAAGCATGAAATACCATATCAAAGGGGACTGCTCCTTGTCTTCCTCCTGTAAATCCACACTGGACAAGTCCACGAGCTCGTACTCTTGCATGACAGAACGAGTCTCAAGCATGCCAATACTCGGAGCGCGTTTACAAAAAGTCATAACTTTTTCAATTGAAATGCTATCATCAGCCAGCTGCAAGTTCTGCAATCGCTTGCGAAGAATCAGATGCACTTTTTGTGCATCTTCCTTTGCTTTATTCATGTAAATTTCTTGCAAAGCCACATAAACATCCGTCATTGCAGTCATATCAGGCAAAACACCAGTGATCGGCAAAAGATTGTCGTTTTGCTCAATAAAATCTGCCAGTGCATGCGCTAGTAGCCAGAATTCCTTAATATCTCTCGACTTATCCAGAGACTGTATCGAAATTGTGTGAGACGGTGCTGCTTTTAACACCCAAAGGACTTCGTCAGACACTTTTGAAGGCATGTAAGCCATGTAAGCGTTTTCAGCTGCTTCCAGAAAATTTACTTCATGACCATGTGGGCCCCATGCCATTGCCTGCAAATTCTTCTTAAAGGCCTCTTTTTCTGCAAACGTGATTGGAAACGACCCATGATGGGTCTCCTTCCACTTTCTCATGGCTTGTAACAAAAGCACGACAAATGGTACATGCGCATGTTCGATAGTCGATAATGAATCTAAGTCAACCGAGCTAGCAAATTTCTCAAGCTCTGGAAAAGGCTTCGAGAGCCTTAAGTCATGTCGTGGTGGGTCAAGTTTGGCGTCTGTGATAACATGTCGAACCACCTGCAGTCTCAGAGAGCCTAGAAAGCCGTACGAGGTCACCAAAATAAGAGGAATTTGTTTCGAGAGACAAAGTTGAGCCAATTTGACCGTAACTATCTCATCAAGTTGCGTAGCTAAAACCAGGTCAAACTGGTCCAAAAACTGCGGTTCGTCTTGTAGCACCTGCTCTACGTTGGCATGTCGGCTCTCACCTTTCACATCTGTATTCATCTCAAGTAGCAAATTTGCCACTGTTTTAGATCTAGAATGACCCACGGTATCTGCAGCCACGAAAAAATTATTTGTTACGTCGGCGAGAGATACATTGGCATCGTCTAAGATCAAAAATTGACCAACACCGGGTAGTACTAGATTCTTAAGAGCTTCTGAAGCAGTAGCACAGGATCCAATAACTAGTACATGCGTTTTGGCCAGAAGTCGCTGGCCTTCAGCGCCCCACAGACGCAGCTGACGGTCGTATTTGTCGCCCATGGTCTTGGTGCTGGACAAGATTGACAAAAATGTTGATCCGAGTCTTTCAAAAAACTGTCAAGATTTTATCAAAATTACCGATTCTTGTTAGAGGGTAATAAAGTAGGGCCTCCAACTACTATTTTTCTGAATGGTTTTACCGCAGAATTGTATGATATGTAGGGAAAAATTGTGCAATAAATATGGTCGATGCTTTGTAAGCTGGTTACATAGGTTACATACCGGTAGATGATAAAAATTGTAAATGTCAAATTTTTCCGGTCTGTATTATAGCAAGGAGTAGACTTCTAGAATATTTTCATATTAAGTACGAGGTCTTTTTGGAAATGTAAGAATTAAATACAGTTTCAATTTTGAGAAGAATTGCGCCATTACCTTGGTTAAGGTCTTAAGTACTCTTGGAGGTCGCTACACTCATACTGGTTCTTGTAAACAACGTCAGATAGGTGACCATAGCTTGCTTCCTATAAGCAAAGAGCTACGGCAGCCCCGCTGTACCTTGGGTCAGGGTCGACGCCTTGCGTCTTGCAGATAATATACGGCATCATCGCCTTCTCCTTATAGCGGTTCTATGTCTCGTCGCGACCAGTGGGGATGGGCACTTAGTGTCGTCCAGTGTCCCTACTTCCTACACGGTCGGAGCTTTGATGTTATCAACAACATCCGACGAAGAGCTGCTATTTCCGCAGTCTTTGTCCAGTGGATAAAGTTTTAGAGAAGCATCTTCTCTAAAACGTGAGCAGTGGCTCAGTGGATTACGTGGTTCCCCACGTGCATCACTGGGTCTCGACCTCGATGTCTCGGACTTCGTCCTGCCATGCCCCTCGTGGCATGCACCAACTGCTTCGAAACGTGAGCAGTGCTCTGGATTACGTGCCACTCCACGTTCAGCCAGCGAGCCATACTCGGGACTCCTGTCAAGTACACTTTCGGTGTTCAACAACTCAGATACTTGATCTCCAGTAATTCAACTGTCTCAGTCCAGCGCCCGCGTCAATAGCGTTTTTGCCTTGTACTGTGACACATATCCCCGTCTCTAACCGAAAAGTGAAGATGTCACTTAATCGCGCCTTCAGCGTCTCGGCATACAGCTGACTTCTTTCCATCGTGAAGCGTCGAGCATAATTGTCCGACACCCCCGAGTCGATCAAGAACTTCCATGGATTTTTAAAACATTGCATGGTCGCTTCCACGACCAGCAAGCCCGGCTTCCATACATGCTCTGTGTTCAAGAGAACGGAGCTTTTCGAGGCTGACGTCTACCGCTTTGAGGCTCAACACATCTTAGTTCTTACCCAGCTGGGCGCCCTGCGCCTACCAGGTCTTCTCGTTTCCCTGCGACAAACCATACTGGTTAGAAGCGAGACGTAGGTTCGACGAAGCTTTTCGCGCCTTACCAGTCCGAAGGTGACGGGTATCACCAGAGCCAAAACACCGTCAGGTGTTTAAACGCTGTACGGCTCTCTACCCGCTATCTCAGCATAGCTGAGATCCATTGGCTCAGGCCCGCACGATGAGCTCTGATGGTGTGCATTCCAGCCAAGTCGTGCCGACTTAAAATTGAATTCGACATCCAATGCCACATTCACCTGGTCACACCCAAGCGGAGACCCGCCATAACAACGGTCACTGTGACCGCCTTGGGGAGAGGATTGGCTGCCATCCCGGCAATAAGAGCACGCAACTCTTGGACAAAGCCCATCAACTCCTTCTTGCTCTCTCGGCCGGCAAGGAAACGCGAACGCATGGGATATGCCTGGTTAGGCGGCGAGAATACTCGCGAAAGCTAGCACTACAGCTCAGTCCAGGAGAAAAACGCCGCTCTAACCGAAGTACCGCACGTGAGTGCCCATTCTTGCGCTCGGCTCCAGCTTGGAGATAGCTAGCACTACGCGCTGTTGCTCGTTCTGGAGCATGGCGGATGCTAAGCAATCTTGGTCTTTCGCACCCAGAGCAGGATACTCTTTCCATCCTTACCCTCGAAGGTCTTAGCGCTCACCATGTGCGGCCTGGGTCGGGGAGGAGCCATCCGTCGTCGACGGTAGCGTCATTGACGCAGTCGACGACGACATCTTCTTCTTTAGGTGCTCTTGCAGGGCATTCTCATAGTTGTAATTTCCTAGGAATCATTGGAATGCGATCCGCTACACTCGTACTGGTTCTAAGTATAAAATGAAGGTCACTGATCTTAACTAGGTTTCCTCTAAGCGAAAGAGATTCGGCAGCCCTGCTGCAAATAATGTGATGTGTCTCCTCCACCCGGGAGCATATCCGGAGTATCACAAGAACCTAAATAACTGGTTTTCTCTTGTACATCCAGGATGATATTAAGTATAATAATATATACTGTTGACACCCTTTACAGGATCACTTCGTCTCTTCAGTTAAGTTCATTTGATTCTCGTACAGTTTCACAGAATTGAAAGGTATATTTTGCACAATTTCACGAAAGTATAACGGCACCGAATTGACAGCTATTGTAAGCTTTGCTTGACATCATCGATAAGAATCTTTGACGTTTAGGAAAATCCAGTCATTAATGCTTGGCATATTAACTCTCCTAAACTGCTTTAAGCACAATTGTCTGTAAATAATTGTCAGCGTATATATTCATAAACCTGGCGATTTAATAATATAAAGACTTGAGAACCTATGAATTACTAAGCTTCGTCTAAGGCACGATGTTGTACCGATGACGACGGCTCGCCTTCTTGGCAAAAGCAAGTATACCAACGCTCAACACTGCGCCTATAAAACCCAAAGCGATCGCTCCTGAGAAATTGCCTGCACCAGCGCTGTCGGTCACAATTGACTGACGAACAAAATTTTGAGCTGTCTCGCTGTCAACGCCCACGAGCATTTCTAACATGCTTGCCTTCGGTTGAAATGTGTCTCCAGGCCACGTCGCAAATTCACTGGCTTGAAGCCACCAAGCTGGATATCCGATTGACGCTTGCTGCTCGGGTGCTTCACCTGTCGTCATATAGCCATCACTGTACTTAGCAATTAATGTCCACGCGAGTTGCCACCATTGAGCTACGACTTCTTCAGCAAACTTATTACTTTGACTTTCAATTTGAGCAACAAAGTGCGTCGTATTTACTGAATGGACATATTGCGCTTCCATCTCGATTTTGTTACGCAATGAGAAAGCCAATTTCTGCAAAGCATCAATTTTGCTATGAATATCAACACTCATGGCATTATAACGTAATAGACTCCAGTTGTTTACAAAATTAAAAGCCCACCAAGCAGATTGAGGATGGAATTTGCTCTGACGACCAAGTAAATATGACTCCGGTACACTCTCCTGTGCACAAGAAAACGGCACAAAGACAGAACCGTGTGGGGCATCTTGAGCATACCACGCAACTCCACCAACTGCATCAGGACCTTTGTGACTACGGCTCTGAAGAACAAATGCAAACAGTGTGCGGTACATGGAGATCGGTCGTTCCCAACCTCCAATGACTCCACCAGCACTACCGGACCAGCGAACAGGAGACCCAAAAGGTCCAGCAGCCAGTCCTTTGGTCATATCATAACGCGTATCTTTGTAGTGATCTCGAAGCAGGTCCATAATCTGATACGTCTCAACAAAACGATCGGGTCTGACAGAAAATGGATACGTGGCATATTGCGAGAAACTACCAAGCCGAGCATCAAGCTGAAGAGACGGCGCAAGGATATCAAAAACGCGCCAGACTCGACGACCGGTGTAAAGTGGACCAATTGCGTCTTTGTCAGCAAATCCATAAGCAGCTGTGAAGTCAAAAGGCTTTTCACCATTTGGATTCCACCAGCCCATTTCTTCGGCAAATGTTAGAACGTTGCTTGAAGCCATATACCAATCACGCTGACTCAGGTCTATCTCACGAATTGTAAATCCATTCGCAATGACCGTTACGTGTCCGTCAGGCACGCGTTGAGCTGCCCAGACCGCGCCAGAATGGTCCTTTCCAGTCATGACATGAAAGACCCAAACCTCACCAAACTTATCACCCACAACAAGGGCTTCAGCTGAGTCACCGAAGTCTGGTTTTGCCATATCCCCGCTGTCTTCACTGTAGAAACCGTGTTTTTCAGCTAAGGTGCCCATTGTATCAACAGCGCATCGTGCTGTTTCACAACGTTCAAGTGCAACCTTCGTAAGCTCTGCAATGCCAAAAAGATTCTTTCCTCCAGCCACATTCAGCGGCCACCCGACAGTTTTAGCACCGCACGTGCTTTCACCAATACTAAGTTGCTTCTCATTCATCATGCCATAATCCTGATCAAAGTACGCAAAAGTATGCTCGACTTGAGGAATGTAACCCAATGGTGTCGTGTACTCTTGCGTCTTGCCAATCTCAAGATCGTTTACAGGTTCGTAGTAAATTCCGCGGTCCGGTGCTATCACGCGCGGATATCCACCGTTGAAATTGTAAACAGCACGATTGCTACCGGATTCGTGATCTCGAGCTGGAACGCGAACAAGTCGTAAATCTGCAGCACCTCCACCCGCATCATCCGTGTGAGCGATTAAAGTCGAATTGTCGGCACTTGCACCTCTGGTAACAGCAATGGCGGTGCATGCATTCACATGAACTTCTTGATGAGTGATCAGCATGAAAGCACATGCTGAAAAGGAATAGATAGGCAATATGAGTTTCATCGTATCGTGCAAGGTCGAAATTTGACGTTGGGTTTTGATGTCTAAGAAACAAATCCAACGCTGTTTAAGTTGTTGGTCGGAGTAAAAAGACGGAATGCCATAAATGAAATGAGCCTGAAGCCTGGCACCACGCTAATTTTCGACGCTACTTGTTAGTCTCTTGCAATCGATCTAAATGTAAATTGACACTTCCCATGCTCACTAACGTAAAATAAGACCAACGTCTCTACAGTCAAATGTGGAATTCCACAACACTTGATCTTTTTTGACATCAAAGTTATTAATAAAATACTACCTTTACAACAGCATAGTATCAACACGCTTATTTAATCGCGACGCATGCGACGAGAACACTTACCACTGCTCTCCGCTTCACCACCAACTTCGGACACTGGGGCAGCGGTAGAAGGAGTTGGAGGAGTTGGAGATGTGTTGGGAGTCGCAGGAGTAGGAGATGTGGCGGGACTTGCGGGGGTAGGA